TTGGCATGCTGTTTGTTGTACCTTATCTTGTTATCTTCCTGGCTCCTGCCAAAGCCATCGTGGTGTTTGATAGCACGTCAGAGCCCTTCGCACAGGATCACACCTCACCTCACGGGGCCATACGGGGTAAGGGGGGCGAGGTTGCTACCCTTTGAGGTGGTGGTTGTCAGGATGGTGATGGGATATACCGAAAACGCAAGACAAGAAACAAAGCAGATGCACCTGTGATGACGAGAAAGAAGGTTGTCAGATCGTACAAAGAGAGGCTTACCCCAAAACAAACTACTTTTTCCAGCAGGCCCGAATCCTCGAAAGAGACTCGTCTAATTTGGGTAAGTCAATGGCGGTGCCACCAAAGGTGATGAAAATGCTGCCACAGCCATTTGCAAAGGTCGCAAAAACAGTAGTGTAGTTGATCTATCTGACCTCCAGTTCGACTATTCTTCGGGAGAACTTTGAAGCCAAACATAGCCAAACCCTTTCTTCGGTATGTAGATCCTAGACCCCTCTTTAGGGGCCCCGAAAAAGGGTGTCCTGTGATCGACCCTTAGAGCGGAGGTAAAGGTTTGTCCATGAACCCCTTGTACTCGTGCAAACACCAGCGGTGTGAAGGCCAAAGCCGGACAACAGGTCCAGTTTGAGGAGAGGTTGAACAAGGAAATACGACCAACAGAGCTCTTTTGGTTGAACAGGGACATGCGATTTTCAGCACGGAAAGGGTTTTGTTGGTGTGGGTGATTCATGCTGTTTCTGGTTCTTGAAGTACACTTTTTTCAATATCCAACTGCGACAACAGCAACGGCACAAATGTTCTTAAGACAACGGTGACGGAAGGTGACGGAGGAACAAGAAGAAACAAATCTTCTGTGGAACCCAAGCAGCAAGATCTGCAACTACTTCTCCGCTCACCCAGAGGAAGATCCATACTGTACTTTTGCTTGGACTCTACAGATACCAACCTAGCATCTTTGCGACCAACAACGTGCATGTGCAGGGTTCTTGGAGGATTTGATGCCTTTGTGTGCAGCCTGCTTCCCTGAAGAAGTTTGGGCAAGAATTCCCTGTAAGGAAGTAAGGAAGCTACCAGCAACTGGCCAGCTGCAGCAGATATTCTCCTCCGACTGCACCTGTGAAGTCTAATGACCAATGCTGTACAAAGCGGCACCGTGCGGCACCTGAAAACCACACGTGGTGAAAAACTGCGTTGCTTCATGCAGGCCATTTCAGCCGCGTATGCACTCGGATGACTTGACTTAGGAGTGCTGCCAATGATCCCACTTATGTTGCTGTTATTCTTCTACTTGTTCTTGTCCTTGCTGGTCGGTCGGTCGGTTGTTAAATGCTTTTTGACCGCTCCCAGGGACAGTCGAAACGGTCAAAGCGTTGGCGGTTCGTGGTGGCTGCTTGGGGGTTCATGGGTCATGGGACAACAGGCCGCTTCGGCGGCCATAACAGTGAGAGGGGGTTCTGGGTTGGCCAAGTGGTGGGCAATTTGCTTTCGCAACGTGGGTTTGTGGATTTCTGTGGTTGATCCCTTTTTCTTCCAGGAACGAGAAGAAGAGATGATTTTTCCATATGTTTTCCGCCGGGCCATGCTTACAAAAACAGGCAGTAGTTGGGTGGTTTGCCTGGATCGTTACTGTTGCTTCAAGCACTGTCGCCATCCGAGATTCGATTGCAAAGACAATCGATTGGTCTGGGGACATTTATCAGAAACCTCTTCTGCCTCTGGAACAGACCAAGAGTATCTGACAATGTAGTAGCTCAGCAAGGCTCTCAAGACCCAATCCAAACACATCAAAGGAGTCCTCAGACTTCCTCAGGAGAATTCATTGCCATGCCATGAAGCCAAACTTTGCACCTTCACGTAACATGATGATCCAGGCCGAAGAGGTCTTCTGTTCCAGGCCGTTGCCAAGAGGAAGCCCTCAGGACCAACAGGAAGGCCTGAGAAGCCGCAGAGTCGAACTGAGTCGCACGCAGCAGCTTGAGCTGAGCACAGCACTGGGGATCTCGGGATCATTAAAATCAAGTTGCATGTGTAGATTGGCATCATGTCCTGGATCAGGGGAGAGAGAGAGAGAGAGAGTGAGTGAGCGAGCGAGTCAGTGAGTGAGTGGGGGAGTTTTTATTTTTTTTCACGCTTTTCGCAGGTGTCCTGCAAGTGCATCCATTTGCATAGAGCTAACTCTCCGATTGGTTTGAGGTGGTTTTTCAATGCCAAAGGTGGGTGCCCTGCGCCGGTGATGGGAGACCTGGCACCAGCGATCCCTTTTGGGGGTCCAGAAAACACCAGACCTCCACAAGACAGACAGTGGCATGTCTCGCAGATGCAAGTCCTAGCGCGAGTCAGTGCGAGAGTCCGAAAAACGCCACAGCTCGGTGAAGCAGTGGCATGTCTCGCAGATGCATATCAGATCATATATATATATACTTAGGTCCCATTGTTGAATCTGCACCCCTCTTTAAAAAGAAGGATCACTAAGAGTGTTGTGTGTTTTCTTTTCTTTCAGAGGCTGTCACCAATTGGACCTCTTGGACCGGGGTCCTTGGTGACTCGTTTCATCTCGTTTCCATCTCATACCCATGGGCGAGAAGCAAACAAGTGTGGAGCCATCATTGGTGGTTTGCCTGGGAATGTATGTATTGTCATGTTCATGTTCATTCGGCAGGACCCAACATGCCTGTTCTCACTGGTGCTTCGTTTCGGGAAGTTTCGGGTGGCTGGATTTTTCTGGAATCGAGTCGCAGGTGGTGGGAGCTTCAGGGCTCGACGGCACCGCATGTGGTCCACGTGGTTCTTCCGGCCAAGCATGTTTCGCATCGCGGATGCTTGTACCACTGCCTCGCATCACAAGCCAGATGTATATGTTATATAAATAAACATGTTGTAATACCATCCTGCACCTTTTTGACCTGTTCGAGCTGAATATGTCTGAGTGAAAAGGGGATCGGATACGTAGTGCCGACCGGAGACACTCCGGGCTGTCGGTGCTGACGCTGTCGGACGCTCCGCTGCTGCGACGCCGGTGCGGCCGAAGGGCGGAAGATGGAGGACGGAGGTGGCAGAAGATGAGCAAGCGTCCAAAGCACGGCTTCGTTGAGCAGAAGATGTGAACTGCCTTGAATCTGAAGAATTGGTCAAATCCCACAAAAGCCATGGACCCTCCAAAGAGCACTTCCTTCCAAACTGAAGTCTAAAGCTGTCCAAAACTACAGGGAGCGATGGGCCTTTGCAAGTCTATGTGATGGCATGAGACTGAAAAAGGCTGAACAAGGTGTTTGACAGCAGTACATAGAGAAACAACACCTTGTTGATCACCGTCACCAAAGGTTCCAAACACCAACAAACGCGGTTGGGTAGACTTGGATAACACTGGCGTGACTAGAAAATATGGCTCGTCACTTCACATGCTTAGTTTGCTCAGTTGAGCGGCCTCTTTTCACTCCCTTTCGTCCCTTCTGGCAAGGAAGGACCGGTCCCCGCTTGATGCGCGGAACGGCGGGGCAACGGCGTGACGAGATGTTTTCCGCCAGACGTGTGTCCCAACAAGTGGTGACTCCGTGACTCAGCCTGGTGTGCTGCCTGTGACTCACGAGCCATGCAGATATTTATTATACAGGAAGCCTAGCTGCGAGAGGAGATTATGCTCTTTGCAATCGTATTGTCAACAAGGATTAGTGAATAGACTATGAGAATCTATGAGAATCGACTTTGTTGATTTGCTTTGGTATTATTTCTGACGTTTTCTTGGATCAATCTCATGGAAAACATCGCGAATCAATGTGGAATCCCTTCAGCCGAATTTCTGGTGTAACAGAAGATGCCATGTTTGTGGTACTCAGTTTTTTTGTTTTTTGTTTCAGGGGACTGGAATATTTATGGCTTTAATTTCAGGGTCAATGCCGGTAAATATGTCATACATGGGTTGAAGGCCATCGCTAGTAGGTTGGAGGCCATCACTAGTAGGTTGGAGGCCATTGCTACTAGGTTGGAGGACATTGCTATTAGGTTGGATGGAGTGTGTGGGTATACTGACTGCCTTTCATGTTTCTGCGGAGTTGAAGGTAACCAGCACATCAGGTGATTGATTGAAACAGTTGGCAGTTGTCGGGGTTGACCAGTCAGTAGCGTGTTTTGTGTTTCTTCCAAGACATTGACCTTGGTGTCTTCCAACATCGTCCAACAAAAATGAATATTTAGACGTTTCATTGACATGGACTTGGAAAACGACAACTTTGTAGAGGGAAATCGTCAGGTTGTTTTCCAATATATATAATTATGCATTTTTGTTATATATAGTTGTTTTATGTTTATTTGTTCATGTCTTTTCGGCACTGACTTCAAATCACCGGTCATCCTGTTCAACTCCAACATGCCGACCCAGCCGGGCTTGGCCGCGCGGCCCGTGAGATCTCGGCCTGCGAAATGCTGGAAAAAGTTGTTGTTTGATGTTGTTGGTTGAGGGGGCCCTACGGTTTCTCTGGGAGTACACACATGGATATGTATTAAGATAGGGGGACCCCAGTGGAGACCCCATGAGACCCCCTGCATTGGATGGTCCAACAAGGTTCGGTTTCCGAACCGAGACCAGGGGTCGTTGGGTCTCGGTCTCTTTATTTGGATAGCCTTTGAGAAGGCGGTTGGGTGTGTTCCCACTACTCAAAACATGTCTAAAAGCTACCTGTTTGCTCCTCAAATGTTCATGAGACCGGCGTCCAAGGGTGTTTTGGCGTTCCTTTTCAGATTCGGATTGATGGTTCGTTACAGGGTATTGGAGAAGTTACATCAGAACAAAAACTCAGCATGTGGCCCATGTTTTTTTTCTTGAACCTTGAAATTATCCCAAGAATGCAAGGCCAGTCGGCTTGTGATGCATATACTTGCAAACCCACTGACCTCGAAGAACTCCCTTCTTTGACTCTTGGACGCTGCGCTGCGAAAAGCCCCTTCGACTGTGAAATCCAGCGTACGTGTGGACGCTTTGCTTCTTCCTCAGGTACTCCCGGAGAGAAGTGTGACTGCAAGATCGAATGCCCCTACGGTTCGGGCCACAACTCGGGCTCCACCGGCAACAAGGACTTGGTGGAACGCGTTGGGAGGGCGGAGGGCGGAGGGCGGAGGACGGAAGGAAAAGGAAAAGGGTGAGGGGAACTGCTGTCTTGAGTGGAGGGAAGGAGTATGAAGGACTTGTTGTCCTTCTTTTTGGACAGGCACGTAGAGGAAAAGGGTCTTGTCCCAGAGTCCGCAGGAAAGGATCTCGGGTCTTAGATAGTTTTTGGGGCTTCCCAGAGTCCGCAGGAAAGGATCTCGGGTCTTAGATAGTTTTTGGGACGTCCAGAAAGCCCATGGAGTGGAACAAGATGCAACAAGGTCGTCCAAAAAGGGTTGGAATGTTCTTTTGCTACTCAGAAATTTCCATTATGCTTTGTCTATATATTTTTTGCCTTATATCAAGTCAGATATGACACAGACCAAAGAAGGTTGATTGAAAGGAAGTGAGATGAAAACGGACCTCAGCTGCGCTTGGCACTTGGTGTGTATTGGGCAAGGCTTGGTCCGGTTGATGTGAGTGATGCACTTGGTCCGGTTGAGAGTCTGTTTCGAAAATGTTCAAGCACGCCTCTATTTCTGAGCGAGCTCTTTTTAGCGGTTGCTACGTTGGCAAAAGCGTCAGGCAATTTTATCACAAAGACGCCTCCAGGGTTTGGTGTTTTGGGAGTTAGACTCCCTGGATTACATTTGTCTTGTACAAACAAGTGGTTTTTGAATTCCACCACTATTTCAGGTTTCTGTTATTGAGGATCTGTCAACCAGAGGACCCCGTCGAGCTCGGAGTCGAGGTCGTTCGATCTTCCAGGGCAAGAGAGAACGTCGCTCCCTTGCTGTTGCCCAATGAAATTGGTTTGTATCGTTTCGTAGTGATTGGTCAATTTGGGATCTTGGCTAAATCAAGATGACAGTGGAGTTGACTCAACTGATGATTAGAAAGTGAGCAGTGACAGCAGCAGGTCTACAAAGAGAGAGAGAGAGAGATAGAGAGAGAGAGGAATGATAGAGATAGCTACTCAGTTCAAACACGAAATCACTATTTGAATATATATTTGATATTACAATTTATAAGACTATGTAAAACTTCTGAACTATTCTGTTTGAAGTTTGGGGACCAGTCCAGTACAAAAGACGAGATGAGGATGCGTAAATATACAACACATATAGATGTATAATATGAGTCCTGTCATTGTTTTTGGATGTTTTTGCAAAACAACATCTAGATGTCAGGGCAGTGGCCATCTACCTGAATCGTCCGCATTTATCGCCAATCACGAGACAACTCGTACGCCTCCCTCCAGGAGTGCACTGCGGTCCCCGCGACGCTCACAGAGGCAACCTGTAGTGAGATCAAAAGCAAGTGGCCCTGGCATGTCTTGTCTTGTTGATCGCGTAGCCCTGGAGGTGATGGTGTTTGGACGCGAAGGCCTGGCAGGCTGCTAGCAGGCCACCAATTCGTATTCAGGCATAGCTTCAGGGAGCAGTATTTCGGACAGCACCTTTCTACATCCGTTAACATGAATTCTGTTCAGCAAATAAGTGTTCAAAGGATTTGCAAGATGATCATCTAATCAATGCTTTGAGATCAGCTTCAAGAGCTGACCTCACAGTCAAGGGGTCAAGGCAACTTCGAAGCTCAGTGGCAGTGTCATGGCCACCAACCCAGCCAAGAAAGAAGCACAGGAGCCCACATCATGGTAATAATCATCATCAGCAGCAGCGGCAGCAGCATGATCTTTCTGCACGACCACACAAAAAGAGAGTCGTCACGACCGGCACGACCGGAACTTCTCACGTCCGCAGACTGAAAGGCTGAGTCGTCTTCCTTTTTAAGTGACCACGGCATGAGACTGAAAGACCGGGCCATTGCATGAGACTGAAAGACCACTTGCTATACACAGATCGATGAACGTTTTGCCACGGATCTCCTTATCGGCTTCTTCCCGAAAGCTCCTCGAAACGCCCGCAACAAGGGCAGCCTCTTTTCAGCTGAAACACCTTCAAAACAGATTCAGCTCATCACTCTGCCAAGATGAAACCAAGAAAACATCTGGTGGATTGGTGAGTTTGAATGACCTCAAATTTATTTTTACTGCATCACCTCACCACTCTGCTGATCCATCCACCCCGACCCTTTGCTCGCGCAGTCAGCCGACAGCCAGGCACAGCTGCCTCAGCAGCGCGGAGTCGAAGATGCCCTGCTGCTATCGCCAGGCGTGTCGTCGTCAGGAGGGAGGATTGGTGCCGTCGTTCTCGGACGCTTCGATTTGGGGTGCCCGGATGAGTGGACGGGCGAGTGGATAAGGGGCACCCATCGAAGAGGAGAAGAGTGGTATGAGTCAGTGGATGGGTGAAGAGGGGCACGTTCGCTTTCTCTCGCCAAATGTCTTGGCGAGGACGGCTGTGGCTTAACACTCGTGTTTGGTGAGCGAGCGGCGATCGTGTCGGCCGTGGACGTGGTGCTTTGCATGACATGGGTCAAACATCGAAATCGGTTTCGTCCATAAAATTGGGTTTGTCTATCAAGTTGGCCCAACTTGATAGACAAACCCATTTTTCTACCTTTGCACCTGCATTCTGCGTGCAACCCTCTTGGCACACAGCAATGTGCTTGTGAGAGGTCCTGACAAAGCCATGCCCGCCATACTCCGGTGTCATGGTAAACTGGACGTCGGAGTCTGCATTGTTTTTCGAAGTATGCCAGAAAGTGAGACCTTACATTGCTACGGTCACGCATCTAGAGCAGAATAGAACCTTGTTGGATAGAAGGATTGCGTTGCACGTATGCGTATATTTGTTTGTACATTGTCAGCTGGCCCCAAAAAATACATCCCAGTAAGTCCAGGTGGCTATAATATCAAATAGGAATCAACTCCACTACAAACCTGTTCCTACTTACACTGATCTATACAATAATATCTGTATATGGCATGCTGCATGCACATGTAAAAGGGACCTGGGGAATTTCGAGGAATGTCGTGTGTCTTTGCTGTTCAGAGCTGCCGTTCTGTTCGTCTTGCGCGCTCGGGTCTCCAGTCCCGGAGAGTGAACTGGAATGTAGGCACTGTCCCTCTTTGGAGGGGAATGGGCCATTTGGCTTCCTACACCGGAAAAAATCACAGGAACTGGCGTTCTTGCGTTCATCCAAGACAGGAGGACTGGCTATACTCCCCTGCCACGAAGTCGGATGAGCAGCATTCGATGTGTTTTTTACCTCATTCAGTCACGGCGAGCAGGTTTCAGCGAGTCAGGTAAGAATCTGGAGCATATTTTAACCCACCAAGAGGTTTTACCGTCGTTAAGTCGGTGTGTTCAGCCGAGCTCCAACCAGGCCGGCTTCGGAAATCCTCTTCACGTTTGTGCGAAACAGGGTTCGGAGGCGAGGAATGCTTCGCACCTTTTTGGCGGGGTATTGGGAAGAAAAGCCTGAGGATCAAGAACATGAAGAGTTTGAAGAACTTCTTGATGTTTGGAGGTCTCAATGGTGGAGCTTTCTGGACTCAACACGCTGTGGATGCAATGCAACCTCTAGAGCTCGCGGGTAGCTGGTGAACAATTGCTTGACATGCTCCATGTTGCGAATGAATATGCCACCATGGTTGGCAGCAAGTGATTGCAAAGATGAAATGTCCAGGATATTCTGAATCCAGATTGTTGCTGGGAAGCACTCTTACAAGACCTTAGAAAATATATATACATATTATAGTATGTCCATGTCAGTTTTTTCCAGACCTTACGGAATGCACGGAATATCAGTGTTTGGGGGAACTGAATGTGTTGTTTCATAAAGGAGTGATCTTAAGACACCCTGTTTTTGATTGCACCAATGGTCCCTTTCACCCATGGACCCTTCCAATCAGTGTAACACATGTGTCGGTCGCAGTGAGAACCTGTTCCGTTTTGTTTTTCCGACGCTGAGTGCCACATCCATGTGGTCCAGATGTTCGACACAGGTTTCCAGGTCAATGTTCTCTTGGATGATATGACATGTCGAAGGCGAAGGAGTACTTTTCTTGCATCACCTGTGGTGCTTGAGTCGCAAAATCCAGAGTGATACATATGTGATGCCAGGACCATCGATGCGTGTGAGTTGGAAAAGATCTCATGAATTCCCATGGTAAATCCGTTCAGTATCCCAGCATCACGCCACCACTACCGTGCGCGCCCTCGGCAGGACATCCAAGACGCACCTGACAAGTGTGCTCGCCTGGAGGTCGCCATCTTCCCGGATCTGCCCAACTGCGTGCGCGGGGACCCAGGCCTTGCAAAAAGAAAGACGTACCTACAAACCAGACAATAGTATCAATAGCTCCAAACCAGAATGATTTTTTGGGCCATAATTGGTGTTTAAACTTAGGCGACTGGGGTCAGTCACATCGATACACCAAGCGTCCTAAGACCCTGCAGAAGTCCTGGCGCAACACCCGGAGGTGCTGGTTCCCCATGGGAGCCATACAATCAAGGAGCCAAAGTAGTTATTCAAAGAAAAAACAAAGCAACAAATGCAACAGGTCAACAGGTAAAGGAAACCAAAAAGCAAAACGAAAGGTTAATTCTGCCACTGTTGTCGCTGTCTTTACTTTTTCGCATGTTGTTCACCGTGTTTTGTTTTTTTCCACTTGTTTTTGCTTCCTAGGAGGGTACAACGAATATTGCAGAGTGGTAAAAGTTCTCACGAGTGCAGAAATGGTACCAGAATAATAAAGGACAAAATACAACAACAAAGCAAATTGCTTTGATTTTTGCATGCTTTGACCTGTTTGACATCCCAAAGAGACCTTCCGAGGCCCATTTGCTTAAAGAGCTTCCACTTGCAAGGGAGGCGCGCGCGGAGCTGCCGCTCGGGCGCGGAGCTGCGTCGCCTGATCGCCCTGGAAAGTAACGGGCGGCGTTTTGGCATGAAAAATCTCAAGGGTGGAGATGAAGTCAGGCACCCCATGTGTGTTTATAGGTTTTTTTTCTAGTGCACCCCATCCGCAGGAGCTACAAGACGGAAAATTGCGAACGTTGCCTGGCCGATACACCTTGTGATTGCAAGGCGGGGCCCAACAGCCGATCCGGGATATCAAGGGTTTTTGTGGTCAGTCTCCATGGACTGACCATTGGTCAGTGGCAGTCATTACATATCCGGGTGATGGTTTCAGGTATTGCTATTTATATATATATATATGTTTGTGTATGATGTGCGTTTTATTCATTGATGTTTATTGTAACCTTTACTTGGGATCATTGATCCCACTAACTCATATGTTGTAAGTGAGTTGAAACCACCAAGCAGATGATGATTCACCATGGACCATGCCTTCGGCACGTCGTGTGTGGCACATCTTTTTTTTCCACCGAAAAACGACAGAAAAAGTCTCCGACTCTGTGTCCATCCTTTCAGGACCGGGCGAAAGACCTCGCGTCCTCACGTGTTCCATGGTCTCGTCCGGCCCAAACGAAGGCGACCTGAAAGGCCACGACCCGGTCCCAGCAGGAAGGCAACCAAGCATAACCAATATTAACCAATCCACCAAGTGGTGGAGTCAGGTGATTGAACAACTATCACTCATGTTGACTGTTGATGAATCAAACCCATGTGGACTGTAAAACCTCTTCAAATTAGTTGGGTTTTATTCATCAACCATCTCTCCTAGACACAATCCCCTGCCCAGCTTCCCGATTCGACGCCAGTTCCGACCCATCGCCAGATGACCTGTCGGGACAATTACGAGTACGTGGGTGGAGAGCAGGGATGCCCAGTAAGAAATCGCGTGGCCGCGTGGCTGGGCCATTTGACGACAACTGATGGTCGCAACATGTTGGCCAACATGTTGGGTCAACAGGGGGTTGCCCCGAACCTTCCCGACGACCAACATGGTTTTCGGGGGGAGGGGACACGAAGTGCAATTGCAGTGCGGTTCTCGTGGAAAGAAACTGTCTCGAGAGCGGTCCACCGGACAAGTGCAAGCGGAAGCTCAGTCAAGTGCTATGGTTTGAGCCAAATACGTCAGTCATAAATGTACGTAAGAGGTGAGACCAGACAGAGGTTAGTACGCAAAAGCAAGCACAGGGGGTGGGGGGGCTGGGGACAGTTTCGTTCGTGTTACTGCTTGCATTACTCGGCACTCGCGACACAATGGGGAAGCTCGGTCGATGTGAAGCTGCAACGAGAGCACGTTGATGGCCTCGCAGCATTGGCTCAGCCAGCATCCAGGCTTGGACTCAATGCTGCAGGCTGTCAAAGAACACAAAAAGGCTGTGCAAGACACTTGTCCGTCAGCTCAAATGTACAGTGATGGTTCGAATGGGCAAAGGACTAATGTTTGTTGTGAAAAAGAAGTGGCAAGATCCCTGCAGGCGCAGATGACTGGAAAGGTCGAAGGACAGGAGAGACTGGACAACAGACCTGGTCTTACTTGAGTGTTTTGAAAATCAGCTCAAGTCATCGTGTTTGACTTCATGAACTCCAACACGATAAGTTGAGCGACCCGAAACGCAAAAATACCTGTAAGACGCATGTTTTTCTAGCAATGCTGTCGGGGCAAGCCCCCCGTTTACCCAACATGTTGCTACCATGGGTATTCAAGAGAAAAACATTCAGCGGAAGTCTTCAGCATCATCAAAACCTCTGGCAGTGTTCCGTCCACTTTGCCGAGTCACCTGCAATCGCTCCTAAGACATGACCTGAACCACTGCAGAAAATGATGATAAACTTTGAAGTTGTTTTTCATGCAGTTGAGCCCGGCAGCCCAGTTGTGGACCCTCCAAACACACCCTGGTCACATTCCCAACAGTACTTCTTAGGAAGTTCTCGTGATTGGTCTTGATATAACTAAGTAGTACTAAGTACATCGCCTATTACCACGGCAAACACTTTTATGCATATAATCATATAATATATGCATATGTCCCAGGAGGGAGGGAAGAGCTTTCGTAAAGTAACACCCCGTGGTGGTGTCCTATTTTCTTCGATGGCCCCCCCTTTGGGCGCCGGCTTCGCGTTTGCTCTGAGGAAGGAAGGTTCCAGGGGCTGCACGGTCTCCAACACCTACCTGCCGCCACCCCCGGTGCGCCGCATCAGGGCAGTGGGGCAGAGCTGCCCTCAAGGTAGCTATGGGAGTGGAGCAGGACTCCGATATCTGTGGAGCCCTTAAACCCCTATTTTCCAGCGTTTAAAAGGTGAGTGTTTCCTTCCAAAACGATGGGGTACGTTTCCATCTCATGACTGTCAAGCCTCTAGGCATTGAATCACAAAAGGTAACCTAGACCTAGGCGATCTGATGTCTCCAAGCCTTTTCTTCAAGGATTGTGTTCAGGGGAAGCTCCTTCGGTAAGACCAAATTGTGTAGTAGAGGACCCCCCATTCAACTCCATCCGCCCGTGCGAATGCATGTTTATCATGGACTGGAGAAGGAGATGTTCTTGAGCATTTCTGCGTGCAATACTTGGCCAGCAGGAAATTGAAGTCCCCCACAGAGCTTTGGATAGTGGGGTGGGCTGACTTCCAATCTCAGAATGAGCAGTTGCATGGCAAAGCAAGAAAGAGACATGCTTCAACCATTTACGTTGACAGTCTTTCAAACATGCCCCATCATGGAATGCCCATTGTGTAAAGAGAAGACGTATTCAAACGATGGAGACCTTGCCACTGCAAGGCCAATAAAGGTACACTTTCATGTGTTTGACAGTTCTAAAGAGTGTGGCACACCAGTTGATGACGACAGCACGTGGTGACCATTGGTCATGCATACCATAAGACTTGAACTTCTGACTTTTCCAAACTTGTTTTTGACATGCTCGGCTGCTTGCTCCTCCTGCAGTACAGGGGGCAAGAACTCCAGCTTGGCTTCTGGCAAAGGGTATGTGTTCCTTGCTGACTGCTTTGAGCTAGTGCGCTGTGACAGTCTTCCCCATCTTCCAAGTTGGATCACACTGGGCGCATGTGACAGTCTCACCGATCTCATGAGCGGCTCGCACTTGGCGGCTCGCTGCGTCAAAGTGTAAATGTAACCTCGCTTCAGATGGCAGTCTGTTTTGCGTAAATGAAAGAACTCCAGCTGTTCAGCCAGAAACTCGGGGCCCAACTGATGAAGCTCGCTTCAAGCGAAGCCAGGTTTGTCACAAGAAGGACGTGCCCAAGTGCACAGAACCGGACAAGGCGTTGGTGGTCGCTGGGACGGTCGCAGGAGTTCCCCCCAAAAAAGGACGGGACTGGGGTCGCCAGGATCGGTCTACCCAGGATCGTGCCTTTGTGGAGCAGTGGGAACCCCTCGAGACGTTTGACGAGACGTTTGATTGAACCAAGCCGCTCGGTCCGAACGCCTCGGCGGTGCCAATTCGTCTCGGTCTGGTTGGGCAACGACGGCACCGAGCACCGGGTGTCTAAAACCCGCACTGAAAACAGGCATGAGTATCCGACTTGCTACGCTTGTTATAGGGTTTACTGAGTGGTGGTGTCAGATCTCCTGATGTTCAACCTTTACTCGGGATGATTGAACCCACTGACAAATACTCTTCAAGTGAGTTGAAACCGTTCAGCCTGGTTTGCTTGAAAGTTTGGGTTTCATGCATCTCAGATGTGTCTTTTTGGCTCAGGTCCGACCCGATGATGACCGGCGATGCCACTGACCCCAGATCCCCTTCGGTCACTGAGACAAAAAGCGCCTCAAACGTTCGACTTGAAAGATCACCACATGGACAAGTTGATTAAATTTCTATAAAGCAATCACGACCGTTCAAGTAGACCCTTCAATCAAATCCCATACAACCCAACATCATCCTACACCATTGGCGTTGCATGTCTAAAAGAACAGTTTGTCCCCTTCTAGATGATTTCAAAAGTCTCCACCATCGGACCACGCGCCGTGCTCCACTCGCGCGTTTTCCACCGGTGACCGTGTGGACCGGTGTGGACCGGTGAGTTCAGGACTCCCTGCAGAAAGTGCGCCTCAGCAACTGCGGGAGCTGTATTGCTGGCTCCACCGACTGCAGGTGCCGTGCACTGTCGCTTTTCGCGCTGGCGTCGTGTCGTGCACCGTCGCTGGGCTGGTGCACCGCCGATGGTCGACAGTGATTCCATGTGGTTGTTCTTTTTTCAAGTGGTTTCCCGCTTCGCGAGTCGCTTCGTGTGGATGCGGAGTAGGATTCTAGGGGGTGAATAGACTTACAGTAGATGTGATGTACATTGACTAAATGAATTTAACAACGATTTGCAGAGGGATCATTATGTATCAACGTGATGAATGAACTCATAAATACAATGCATATTCACACCCTCAGGATCCAGACCTCGCTGGTGGGGATATCTTGTCACTCATGCCCTTGGTGACTGTGGCTTTTTCTCCATGGATCCCTGCTGCCTCCTGTGGGGTTTTAAGGTAATCATGATGATTCCCATCCAGCACAGCTGCACATCGTCCTCGCCGTCGCCCTTTCTTTCTCGCGTCGGGGACCGTCTTCGCAGACGCGCTCGACGCGCTCTCTCTACGGGAGGTGTACGGCCACGTGTTTGCCGGAGCACATTCTGATGCCTGGATCGGAGGTCAAAGAGGGCCTCAAGAGGTCAGACCTGTCGTGGACGACGGACGGACGTCATGGGGACGTGGTCGGGGACGTTGTTTTTATGTCGTTATGAAAAGACCCAAGGAGTGACCAGTGGGAACTTTGTTGGCCAGTATCATGTTTGCCTCTCAAATCTTGGGGGAACGGTAAAAGCATGATATGCGGTACGTGGGTCTATTGGATTTAGTGGCTCGGTCCAACTGGAACCTCAGAATAGTGTGAACACATCCATCCAGCCTTTAACGACTATGCAGCCTTTCAACAAACCGCTTGTCACAACTCTTCGACTCATCTCGACTCGCTTGATGTCATGTGTCATTGGCGGGATGACCAAAGGTGCGGCCGTTTCAGCACATTGACCACTATGAACCAGCATCAACCATATGATCATCAGCTGCATCAGGAGGTCACGCATCAGCATGGTTGGGTCACACATCTCCGCCCACGGTCATGCTTGGGTCCCTCATGAATTCCGCCGGAGTCGGCGGAGTTGCCAGGTGCCTGGCTGTGGATGCCACCTCGGGTGCGATGCCTTGTGGGGTTGCCTGGGGCAATGTCGGTCGGTCAACGGAGGATTTGTGCGAGGCGACCAGGTCTTGACCCGCATCCATGTTAATCATTATAGAATAGACATATTATAGAGAGAATTAGTCAGCATTATAGAGATTATAGATCATGTTCCAGTGGAGCACTCAGTTGTGGAGTCTTCATGTCTTGCTGATTGCTGTTTCAAAGGTTTCAGACATGTCCTGCCGACTCTTGGGCTCAACATGTGCAGTTCCGCATACAAACGGCCTGGTTCTTACTTCATGGGTACAGCTTCCCGGTTTGGTTGGATGGCGTGAATCCCCCAAAGTTGCATTTGATTAATCCTTTTGAATGTACTGCACTCGGTTTGGATACCACCCCAAAGAAAGCCACACGATGCCCCACGTCTCCCATGGCTCTTCAGCCTCCCCATCCTCTTTTCGGAATCAACCGTTGTCGACCGCCTCCAGGTGAAGAGATCACAAGTGGCAAGAACTGCGCACGGAACGCCCAGCACAGAACGACCCTGGCACCGATCCGCTTCGGATGCCGGCGCAGCAGATTCGAGGTCGCAGGTCACAATTTCTATTCTTGAAGAATGAGCAGGTAAGTAAGAATAGAGTTGTCACCAATTGTATTTCTTTTCAAGAACCACCAATTCTATTTCGAGGTCGCAGGTCAGAGGTCGTAGGTCGTGGTTCTTGAAAAAGACCCATGGATCAAAGGGGGTTCAGTGCAGGTCGCTCGCCTCCGTTCTTCGCAGAAGGCTACTGTATTCAGGAAAAGAGTCGTTCAGTTTGTCCAATGGTCGGGGGCAATCTGTTTTTGATCCAAAAATGAGGGGTTCACTTCGTCCATTCGTGGATTTTCTGGAGGCCAAAAAGTTGTACAATGGAAAGCGATGCTGCTGGGAGAGAGGGATGATGGGCTACGGTGGGGGCGCCTGAGTTCCAGAGATCAGAGTGGACTGTCTGACAGGGTAGGGAAATTCATGGCAGACAGCAGCAAAACGCATCCTCTATCCTTTTGTCGGTGATGTTTTGTTAAATCTAAATTCGAGGCGGACGGCAGAAGAAGCTTAAGATTGCTTGTTCCAGGGAAAATGATGGATTCGGTTTGCACCATCAAAGAGTCACCTCAGAAAACTTGAGGCTCTGATTCGCAGTTAGTGAGATAGTTGCACTTGAAGTCTAGCGATGGAGATGTTGCTGCCACTATGAGTATGAAATATGGTCAACATTGGGGTGGTTGCAAGGGTCGATGTAAAGATTCCACATGGGGTGCATGAAAAGGATTCCACATTGGGCTAGTCAACCATCAACGAAACCGGTCGCTGTTTGGTCAGAGTCATCCCAGATGTCTGGTCCACCACCGAGCCCTTTTTGGCGAACGGGATCCATGAAAGAGGACCAACAGTCCCACAAAACATATATAGGTTTTATGTCTGGTATGTCTGGTGTTGTTAGGCTCGTAACGCTGGATTTCAATGCTTTTTCGCCGGGATCTGTTCGGGTCCCGTTCGGGAGCCGAACAAGCGTTGTGTGGAACGGACCAGCCGCCTGCGCCATTGAATTCCGCAGGAAATTGCTACACTCAGGGTAGCTCAAAGATGTCCAAATGGTGCGCCCAGCGAATACACGGTCGCGGTTGAAAGAGTTGGACGGGATACAGCAGAGGGGTTGGATTTTGCCCGAGAGATGTGGAAAAAGGATGAAAAAGAGTATTCCCCATCCCAAGCAGTGCAAAAGTCTTCTGGAGTCCATAGTGGCCCTCTCGATGTATTCTTCCCAAGGAGGAGGTAGGGAATCCTTTCCTTTTGTAGTAGCTCTCCCAATTGGACACCCAAGAATCATTTATCCAAACAATAAGATACTAGGAACAAGTGCCTCGCTTCTAGTAACAAGTGCCTTACTAGTAGTAACAAGAAGCTATTATATAGAAGGAGGACACTGCATCCTTTTGCATGGCCTTCCAATCCGGCCTGTCCACGTCACAGCTTTGGGTTCAATGCTAGCATCAGGCCCCAAGAAACTCCGACTCACCAACATGGAAGACCGGACCCTAAACTCCGACTCACCTCCCTTTGTAAAGGATTGGTGTCTTCCTTGGGAAGGTCATTTTCGAGTCATTTTCCACTTCCACGGAACGTGAATCGGCACCCCAAGTGGCCAGTCGCTAGCGACTCACCTCGCCAGGGGCGACACGGACAAGCCCAAGTGTGCACCGCTACAAGTGGGGCGCTATGAGGACCGAGACGGAGCTCGGTTTGTCCTCCGAGAAGACAAATGTGATGTTTTTGGGAATGGTTTGTCATTCCTGTGGGAAGGATCACTTCAACTGACCGATGATATGTATGTATGTATATATTATATTATACATATATATATATACAACTCAAAATCCCTGCGGCATTTTTTGTGAGTACATGAATATTTATATATATATAGATGCTGTATATGAATATTATGAATAATACACATATATATGTTTCAGGTTGTTTGAATCATGTTGAAACCATCAGCCAGAAGATAGTTGAACAGAGCACGTGGACAGATGACAGATGGCCTTCAAGGATGGATGGCCAACACATGGACAGCTGATTGCTTTATTCACGTCTTGTGGCAACGGGTAGATTCACAACTGGTTGCATTGAGCCCGCAGCCAGGGCCAGGGCTCCTAAGCACCTTCTTTCGATTGTACGCGGTGGGTTTGGAGGGTGTGACTACCTTTTGAGGGAGTAGTAGTTATTTGGAGGCCCAGGGAAACAATAATTTACAATCAATGTACATAACTTCTCAACTATCGTTGGCTTTTTTCAGGGAGAGTCTTAGGAACACATGTTCTACTATATATAGTAGCAATATATTTATATGGGGCTTGCTCCAGTCATATGTAGTAGGGATAGAACGATGAACACATGATGATTTGATCCTGAGACTCGACGCTTTCGCCGGCACCCAACCAATGGACAAACACAGGGAAGGGCATACGAAACACAGCGACTGATCGTCGGAAAGCAAAACTTGTTAGCCACATGACTTCCAACATTGATGTGAATTAGCTCAAAGACTCCTTCTTGTCAAGGCGCTTTAGCTTTCACAAGGCAATCAAGAGCAGTATTTGAACCTGAAATCACCAGCCTCCTGGCTCAAAGTCCAACCATTTTGAAGGACGCCTTGTTTTCCTTTTCTTTAGCACAGAGAGCGGATTTGTGAACCATGCCCATGCCATTCAACGCTTTTGGTATTTCTCTTTGAAGCTTTGACTCCAGCCTGAACTCGTGTTTTCCGTTGACTCGGCCGCTTCAACACCGGAGGGTTTTCGAAAGCGGAAAACTCGTTCGATGTTCAACCCAGCAGTCAAAGGGTGCTGAGCTTCAGCAGTCGATCGACGTGCAAGACCGTGTAGACTCGCAAGAAGAGCACGACGTGCGGAGACGCTAAGCCAAGGTCTCAACCTGTTTTTGTATCGCAGAGTGTTTTTGTGGATTTGGGTGATGTGACGGTCCGAAAGGCAAGTGTCCCATCCACTGGTTCTGTCGTGACACAGAGGTTTAACTCGTATCCATAGAAAGGAAGTTGTATGGTGTTTGCGTGAGCACAGTGTTTAGCATGTTTTGGGGTGTTGTGTTTTGTTGCTGTTTGTTTTCCACCACATTCCCTGCGTGTGCGCAGTGTTGGGGATTTGTTTTTTGTCTTGCAGTTTTGGTAATACTGTATTGTAATAGTAATAGTGGAACCAAGCACAGCTGCAGAACATAAATAATGTGGTTTCAAAGGTACCTTTGCCTCCTTCCCTTCACCGGATTCAAAAAATGTCCTGGCGCAGAGCATCCTGTTAACTGTTGCTTGTAATATACTGAGAAACCTGTTCTAGTTGACCTCATGTAATGTTGGTGCCCGCCTAATTATTCTCCGTGCCGGACCATCCGGACCTGAGCCCTTCGCTCCTCCCGAATCCAGGACTTCCCTACCTGTGTGCCCACATGCAAGAAAAAGTTCCACGAATATCCTGGGCTGGACTATGACAAGAAGGCTGCATGTACACAACGATGGTGCTATGAACAATTGCAATGCTTCAAACGTCTAATTCTTTTCATGGACCTTGGAAACATGGGCGCAAGTAGGGATGCTCCAAATGTCTATTATCCAGGGATGGAAATCGGGTCAATCACCAAACCACGGGCCAATGAAGATTGGTTGTTTGTGCTTAAAGAAAGCTCAAGATAGTTGCGGCGACTTGGACTTCATAGTCCTGACCAGAGCAATGTTCTACCATTGAACATACTCAAGTAGATGGCCGTCCCAAGAATCAATAGAGCTGAAATATTATAGAATGGCTGCTGTTTCTACATCTAATCTTTGCGTGAGGCTGCTTCATCTAATACGTTCCTCAAACCAACAAGTCAGCAAGCTGGTCACGATTCTATGAAGGTGCTGCCTTGGGTTCCTGCGTGGATGGCGGTCTGCGTGGTAGGATGGACCACCAGGTGGACGATGGACATCTTCAAGAAGATGTCCAAGTTGGTTGTTTGGTAAGGACGTCGATGTACCAAGTTGGTTTGGTTCTGTGAGGTCAATGAACCAAAGAGTAGCATAACAGCCTGAAACTTCTCCACCGGAGGCCAGTGTTTTGATCCAACCATCCAGCGACGAGTCGACCGGCTCGAGAGCCTGGAATGCCCCCCAGTCGAGCGCCCGGACCACCAGTCGACTCAACACCTTTAAAAGGTGCTTTCGACTGGTTCGACTGGCACCCGGTGGGAACCTGAGTGATCTGGGCAGGTGTGCGATGTTTGCACACCAAAGAGATATCCTGGCCAGGAGGCGCGGGGCGCCACCTCCGCTGCAACAGTCGTGGGCGGTGGTATTTTCCCATGGACCCTAAAAACCCACGGGTTTGGTATTCGGAAAACCGTCGAGTCTCCACGGGTCGAGTCTTCACAGGGTCTGGGTCCGTTTGAAACGGGGTCCATGACCATATACAGTACACAGATCCATTTGTTCTACTGTACCATATGGTGGGTGCGAAAATCATCCCATGGGGAGGGTAAACCTTCCGGGCAAACAAACGACTTTCCATGAAACATGTGTTCTTTCTTTTGAAGTCGACCGCGGTGTGTTTTTACAGAAAAAAATGACCAAACCGGCTCGGCCAAGCAGAGAGAACTCCATTTGTGGGCGCTTGGGAATGAGCGTTTCGGGACCCACGTGGGTGTCCGGTCGGTCACCTTGCTTCGTCCTATGACTCGAAAGCGGTGCCAGCAGGTGATGTTGGATCTTGATTCCAGGTGATGTTGGAACTACAAAGTCAGGTGATGTTGGTGGTATGAATGTTTGACTCGATGGTTCTTCACCACCAAAAAATAGTCCCGAAGATGTGTTTGTGTGTGAGGGTTCTAGACTTTGGACCTGGACGTTTGCAGGTTGTGGCCCAGTTCAAAGCTGCATGTTTGACCAGGATTGCTACCTCAAACCATTTACCATGGATGGCTACCTCAATCCTCACCAAATCATTCTTGTATGTCCATTGCGTGGAACCCATGAATTTCTCCCACTCTCTCACTCTCTCTCTCTCTCTCTCTCTGTCTCTCTCTCTCTCTCTCTAAGCACGCTGTGAAAACCCCACGAACCGGGCACCGTGACCTGCAGCGGCAGAACGCGAACCTCACGGCAGGCCTGTCAGTGCAGCGTGAAATGCGCCGAAGGCTTTCGCCCAGTGGGCGGCCCACCCGAGGGGCCGAGGCCCGATGGAGGGGAGGGGAGGCGAGCCCCATCGGCTCGGTTGGAACACGGTGCCCATCAGTTTGGGGGTGTGTTGTTGGTGCGTAGGAATTGCAAAATGGGAAGATGAATACTTTTGCGATGTTGCTTGGAAGCGGTGGGGAGATAGGCATAGGAGGGTACATTCTTGTTTGACATGTGTTTTGGGACCGGAAGAGTCAGGAAGCAACTGGCGATCAGACAGAAGCAGACGGCACAATGCGCATTTGCAGATGTTGCAATCGTTGTAATACTTGCAAGATTATAGTGTTAATAAACAATATGGTTCAACAATAATGATAATAATAACAATTATTAATAACAATAATATGTATATATATATATGTGTGTGTTCAATAAAACTATATTAAACTGCACAAACAGAGCATGGATTTTGAGTACTTGGGCACTCAAAATTACACACAATAACATGTGTGATCATGAACATCGCTATTAGGTTGGAGCGCCAACGACCCCAGAGGTCGTGTGACCCCAACGACAAGCACGGCGGCGGCGCAAGCATCAGCGGTGGCTGGGACACCTCGGATCCTGAGTTGGTGGCCATCAGGGCATGGTGGATGCCAACCTGGTGGGGTGGGGAGTGCTGGGGGGTGGAAGATGGGAAGCGGAATTCGTGGATTGGACCTCTCTTCGTGAATCGGCGTCATCCTTAGAAGGGGATGAGAAAGCATCTCCTAACACCTCACAAATGATGTGGACCTGGAGTGATTGGCAATAGCGTGCTGGGAGTGCAGTTATTGGTGTTGCTGAAGGAGAAGTTCTCGCTGAAGGAGTTCTCCCTAAGATTTGTTGCCTGCCACAGGAGTTGTTGCAGGCTCAAGTCATGATAAACATGTCTCCCACTGGTTCCAATTCAACCAACCTCCCTGTTTTGTGGGCAACTCCCCACTCCAGTTCCATCAAGCTTCCTCGGACTCAGTTCTTGCCAAGGGAACCAGAGAACTGGGGATCCGGGAATCGAAGTCTGACCAGAACTGCCCAGTCCAGGCTGACGGACCTGGATGAGACCAGACGGAAGTGATTGAGAAAAATCCGTCGATTCCCCACCAAGTTCTGCAGTTCTGCCCTCCGAAGGCATGGTACAGCTAAGTCCAATTTCCACTCTGAACAATGTGAACACACTTAGAAGTTCCAACCCAAAAGGAACGAGCCAAAAGACGATGCTCAAACCGGCGCTACCGGAAAACCTGTTTGTCTCCCTGTTTGGCGAGTGACCCATCGGCTCACCTGAAGCCGAAGCGAACATCTCAGGTGCATTTTTGTCACCACCTGCCTGCATCAAGCCACTTGGCTCGACATCCGTTTTCCGTGGTTCGGATGTCGGCTTGTTGTACTGGGGGGTTGCATTCAGGGAAGATCTCCAAGGCAGGGTTGACTTTGAGGTCGGGGCCTTGGAAGGAGTGAGGAATACTTTGATGTTGGCTTCTTACAAATTACGAGTGATATCGAGTGATTGTAAATGAAACGGATGCTTGTCTCAGATATGCTTGTGTATGATGAGTATTCTTTCAAGTGGTCTTGGGTATGTTTCGTACACATACAGTTATAGGCTACCAGAAAACCTTGGAATGAGCTCAAGCGGGGTTCGTGCCATTCAAGTCAAGTTCCTGTTATTTGGGTTCTCAATCATAGGAGGAACGGAGCTTGCTGGTTTTTTGTGTACGAATTTACCTACCTTAAACGGACCTCATAAACGGACCATACATCACCGGGGGGGAACGTAAGTTGCATGTTAACGAAAGCCGCTAGGCCTATACCAAGTTCTTGCACATCATAAGGGCAGTCTCTTTTCAATCAGCTTGCTTTCCCTACTGAGGAGAATAAGATGCGTGCTGTGTGTTGCATGTGTTGGGTTCCTCATATCCGTTTTGTCAATCACAAGTTGCCACCTCCATCCTGCAGAGCCGCTACCGCTGGAATTTGTGTCTTTGCAGGGTCCAGCTGCACTTTGCGTGGACTTTTGGTGTTGCCAGTCTTGTTGGAGAGCGCAGGATGTTCTGCATCAGTAATCAGTATACAGTATACACATATCGAGATATCTGGTGTATAGGTTGCTCGACCCGCATAGGCTGCATTAAGCCAATCGAAAGCTTCTCAGCCATTCTCCGCGTCTTGAGCCATGAGCTGAATGCGTTTTGCTGAACCAAAATGAACCACCCACACATATTCTCTCGTTCAGAGGAACCTTTTGGATTTGGGCCGAACGACACGTCTTGTTTCAACCGACCCGATCGGATTCCTCGGCCCAAGGAAGTTAGATCCACCTCGTTGTTCCAGGCGCGAAGACGCGCGGATGTGGCTGGTGGAAAAGGTGAAGTCCAGACGAACACAATGGGGTGTGGCTGGGCTTGGTTGGCTTTGGATGATATCTTGCATGGCTTTGACAGGTTTTGCGTGTTTGCTTTTTTCTACAGGGTTGGGTGAATTTGTTTTGGGGTGTTGGGCCTCATTCGGAATTCCCCCTTGTTTGGACAGGGATCCTGGATCCTTTTCGGCCACCTTGGCCTGGTCCTTTCAGCCACTCCAGGCCAGAGATGCCAGGAATGAAAGCCGGGAGAGCCGAGCGAGTTCGGGGTGACGGGTGACGGAGGCGACAGCAGGGGACAGCAGGGGGTTTGCTGATGTGCAGTTGTCGTGTTGGGCTTTCTGTTTGGATGATTTGGGATGTGTTTATGGTTTTTGCTGGGGCCGTACGGTATTTGGATGTTTCATGCTGTTTCTTTGTTTTCTGTTTCAAGGGCATGTGTTTGGACGGGTCAGCCTGAGGAGGCCATGCTGGGATGAGCAATGTCCGGAGACTAGGAGATATGACTCCAGGGGGGTTGGGAGGGTTCTTAAGATCTGGCAGGCGAGCTGGATCCAGAAGGGGAAACATCTGGCAGACTTCGAAAAACGATGTTTCTGCCCAATGGGGGAGGTTGTTCCACGATGCGAAAGCCACAGAGTGATCGACACATGATGTAGGTGGCGGGGTGTTAGATGTCTTGTTCGGCTGGTTTTCTGGGGGGGGGTCATTTCCGCCCTGGCATGGCAATGGGTAAACGGGTGATTTGCTCGGTGGGTCAGTTCACCCAGGGGCTGCTGCTACGATCGGATCCAGCGGGTTTGCCAGCGGCTTTGCCCTGAGAACTCCCCGTGTTGAGGTCACAGGGTGCAACTGCCAGGTGGGTCAGGTGGGGCTGAAAACTGGGGCGGGAGATGCTGAGATGGGAGGTGAGATGGGTGGAATCGAAGCTGTACCCACTTGGACTGGGAGAAAACCTCCAAGATGCACAAGGGGCCACAGGCTCAGGTTGAGCGGAAGCTGAGTGAGAGTGGGAAAGACCCATCGTCCATCCACAAATCACAAGATAGAGGTATATCATGCACAAGTTTGATAGATGAACCCCTCACCATCACTCATGTTGCCATTTACAGAGATTGTATGGATAGTGATAGATAGGCAGATGGATATGGATATGGATATGGATATGGATATGGATTGATAAAACATACATGTTGCACATCGTCTAGATTCGTATAGTACAGTATATTGATGCGCTGGCCAGGAGAATTGCCCCTGCCATTTCGATTGCGAGGATGGGTACAGGGTCACACAGGGCAAGCTGGAGCCTCAGAATGACGTGGTCAGTGCGGCGGGTTAGGTACAATGGTTTGTGTGTGTGTCTCAGGTGGTCCATGGGCTACGACAAATAATTGGCTTTGGCTATTCTACTGTAGCATAGGCATCCGGACGACCAGCACAGCATCGGTTGCTGTGCGTCCGAGAGGGTCGGCATCCGGAGGCACCTTCACCCCACAGGTTCAGAGCCCTGGGTTTGACCACTGGAACAGGTTCCCTCTCATCGTCGGGGGTTTGCACCGGCCCACCGAATTGCAGCAAGAAGCAAAGAAGCTTTAAACTTTTCCTTTGTAGATCTGATCTCGGTACCAGTCATCCTCAAGACCCGGGGAGCCCTGTTTTTGGGAGTTTGATTCGGTCTGTAAAAAGGGAGCCCAAAAAGCGAACCCATCCCCATGTCCAGCACATACCATTCGAACCTATGGCCAGTTCATCCAAGTCTTCCCCACTCGGATGCGGAAGGTCATCCTGGCCATCCAGGTCGGAGAAGGCCAAGCAGTTGGCTCCGGCGAACGGCGACCACCTCGCTGTTTTCCGGTCCTTCCTCGCTGTCGTCGTCCCGTCGCGGCTTCGAGGCCCGGAGATCAGAAGTGCATCCAGGCGGCTTCTGACCGCCGAACGTGCCGATGTCGGGGCGCGTGGAAAGGGGGTCAACACAGTGGGTCAACCATGGATGGTCAATCTTTTTTGTTTAGAGTTTAGAGGGAAACTGAAGGGGGTTCTGGTGAAACTGCATGTTTTACTTCTAGTTTGGAGGCCATCGCTGGTAGGTTGGAGGCCATCGCTAGTGGCTGGTCTGGTGAGATCCTGGTTTGCTGCCAGAAAAAGTGACTAGTGACTGGCCTGACTGCCACTGAGTATAGTTGCTGTATATATATAAGGAAGTTTAATGAAAGTTAGTTCTTTTAATGAGCCTTGGTTCTTTGAGTACAGGTGAGGTTTTGGATATATATATATATATAGAAGGGATGGGGTTAGCAGGTGCAGGCCGCAGCTCAAAAGCATTCTTTCTTTCCCTCACCCCAAGAGTTTGGTCATCTGGTAATCTAGGCATCACGCTTAAATCCAGCCTTAGTCGCCCCTGCCAGAGTCCAATAAATTGAACCGTCTGGCGAAATAAACTTCCAAAATGGAGTGCCGCTAGTGCTCCTCAGGAACTTCTTGGCATTCCAGCCATTGTGCAATTCATCGCTTACCAATTTGGCTTGCGACTTCCCCGCACAGACTTTAGCCTTGGCTTTGGCCTTAGGCTCAACAATCTGGCCCTTGGCCTTCACACGAGGCTTCGGCTTCTGTGACTTCTTTGGAGTCACGGGCTTAGGATTCTCTTTTGGAACAACCTTTGCCCGAATCTTGGATACAGATTCACCCTTGCGGTTGTTCTTTGAACGAAATGGGAGTGAAGTGGCGGGCTTCTTGGCGGATGCGTCAGTCTCCTTGTCATCTTCATCGGATTCCCACTCCAAGGCCTTCAGCCTGAGAAGCCGTGGCGTCTTCTCCGGAGATCCCTGAGACTCATTCGCGGTTTTCTCCTTTTTCTTGACGGATTTGGCCGGCCTCTTCATGACACTCTGGCCTAAGTGGTCAACCCATTTCAACAAATGCCGCCTTTCAACCCAAAATATAGGTTTCAATACCCTCCCGCCTCTTAAGCATATCAAATGGTTCCATGATTTGGGACACATCAAATGATTCAATGGAAAAGTCTAACCCATCAAATGCATCACACATAATACTGTAAATTAAAAAACATAAACAATAACAACAAATGATTCAGCACATCAAATGATTCAATCACATCTTCTAGCACATCAAATGATTCAAAGGCATCAAATGATTCAGCACATCAAATGATGCAAGCACATCAAATGATTGAAACACTGCACTTCAAATGATTCCATCACATCAAATGATTCAATCACATCAAATGATTCTCATCAAATGATTCAGCACATCAAAGGATTCAAGCACATCAAATGATTCAATCACATCAAATGATTCAATCACATCAAATGATTCAAACGCATCTCATCAAATGATTGAGCAGCGCACATCAAATGATTCAATCACATCAAGTGATTCGATGAAACAAACATAACGCATCAAATGCATCACACATCAAACAAACAAGCACAGCAAATTATTCAAGCACATCAAGTGATTCAATCACAGCAAATGATTCAAGCACACTATATAAATGATTCAAACGCATCAAATGATTCAGCACATCAAATGATTCTGAACAAAGATATGAGGCACCCCTGCCACCTCCGCGTCCACGCCCACAGCCTTTTCCGCGTCCACGACTTGGCTCTGCACGACTTGGCTCTGGGGTCTCACGGATCTCACGGTTCTCCGGTGAACCAGCAAAGAGCTTCTGAAAAGGAGATGATCCCGGTGCAGGAAGGGTGGCTTGAGAGTCATTGTCCGGGCTTCCATCCGCCAATGCATAGGATCGCATGATCGCACCTCTCATGTCAAAGAGCGGTGAAGCCATGTTCGAAGGACAAGCTGGGAAAATGAGATGTTAGGGCCAAAACAATCTTGACATCTTCAGCCATGAAAGTTGAAGATGTCCATCTCAACAAAATGCCTTGGGAAGCAAAACAAAGCGTGGCCTCTCAAAACTGAAGTGAACACAGGAGCTGTTTGCAGGAAGGTTTCTTTTTCTTCAAGCCAGTTCATATTCAAATGGAGTCAAAGTATTCAAAATGAACCTGTACAGTCCCTGCAAGGACGAAACCGCTTGATTGTTTGTTTGTTCAGGTTCTTCACATGATAGCATGACTCACTCTTGTGCCAGCACTTGCCAGTGGCCGTCGTGATGATTTCTCTGGCATCAGCGGTTGCCTGCGAAGTTCGCCGCAGCCTGCCAGCAGAGCCTTCAACAGGGGGAGGAGTACACGGTGCCCACATGTCCTCAGATCTGTGCGTGCCATTGCCGCAGTCCTCATCAGTTCCCACCATGACTTCTCGAGTTGCAGGCTTCTGAGTCTTGCATAGAAAGCAGCAGGCGAGGTTTATGGCAGCTACAGTCACACCAAGTGGAAGGGTTGAGAGAGTGAAGTAAAAAGCCACATCAAGAACCTCCTCTGCCACCACAGACATTGCACAAGAAGTCAGCACAGACATTAATTGCTTGGGCCCCATAGTGACATTCAAAAATGAGATCAAACCGCTGTTGGACTAAACACAATCCAAGAGACCAGACAAACAAGGACTACCTTTTGCTTCAGACTGAGCTCGGACGATTGCTACGTGACTGCACCCTTCTGTTGACCTTCCCGTGCACTCATGCCTACTAGCAACATGTCCTGTCCAGACTCTAGACTCTCGAACAAATGCAACAAACACAAAAAGCAACAAATGCTCTCGAACAAACACAAAAAATGTTTGGCACAGTGCATCCCTGGCAACAGACATGCCTTCACACACTGCTGGGGCTGAAAACAGGCTTGCACCGTGTCAAGCCAACGCATGAACACTTGTCCCGTGCTGCCACCACTGCGGAAACAAAGCTTTGGAAGATTTTGGAAGGAAGCTATTGAAAGAAAGCTGGACACAGACCTCTGCCTCTACCTACCAAACTCAGGCAGCATAGCCAAGTGGTTTGCCAGAACGCTCAGGGTGAATCTGCAACCTTTACAGGTTTTCCCTTGGAAAGTGAAATGGATACAGAGCTCACCACGTATGGCTTTTGCAGTTTCAGCGATAGACCTACAGGTTCAAATCTCAGGCGGAACATTTTGGCGATCAGGTGACTGCCAGCTTCATGTTCAACAGCTGCCACGCACTTGCCGAAGAAGTGCTTGCAATTCAATTTTGCGTCATCCTTGGGCGGCTGGATCTTGAATTTCATTTGCTCGGTTTGCTCGACAAGAAATGCGTCACTGCCTGCTTCTACATCGTCCTTCCGGGTCACCTTGAAGTAGCTTAGTTTGTGGGACGTTACCCCCTTGGTGCGCTCAAGCTGGATCAGGAGGGAGTAAAGGGTCATGGTGGCAACTGCTCCTGTAGGGGTGTTCTCGCGGATGCTTGTCTCGTCGACCTGAACAGTTGTCCGATCTCCGAGGTCAAGTTTCCAAGAGAGACCTTCTCCGCAATCCACACTCTTGCAGTAGCTGCCTGCTCCAAAGCCACCTAGCTGCGTGTGCTTGTTCAGCTGGCGATCCTTGTCCGTGGCCATGATCCAGACTTGCTTGCTCTTCGTGAGCAGCAGTTGGATTCCAGACACCTCGGATGCCGTCTGGAATTCGATCCCTTCAGCCTCTTTCAAAGCATCCAGGGAATCCTTTGTGGTGAGGGAAGTGGCTTCCGTGGATGGCTCCTGCAAGCAGAAGGAAGGAGCTAAAAAATATAGGGTAGTGACAAACAGTCGCAAGACCATTCCCAAAATTCAATCATGGACTATGGACAAACCTGTCAGACTGAGTTTGAACCTCGGTCCTCCGCCTGCTCAACCTCACCTGCTTGGCATCCATCGCTGAAAGGTGCACCCACGCCTGGCATGGTGTCCAAGAGCCGCTCATGCTCAGCCTTCAAATTCTTGTAGGTCTCTGAAATCTCTCCCGTCTGAGCCGCCCAGTAGCGATGTTCGTCTGGTTTAATCACCATCCGTGAGTTCTCCCGCTGAAGAACTTCCCACTTCAGTGTGTCCATACCCTGAAAGAAGGCCTCCCCTCCTGGAATTGTTTTGATCTCCTCTGAAGTCAACTGTGGTGCCACATCTGCGTACTCTGAACCGTAGTCCAGCTTCTTCTGCAACCAAGCAGTCAAGACTTCTCGCTGAAGGCGACTGTGCCCAAAGGTGTCCTTGCCAATCCAAGACACGCTGAGGTAGCGAAGGTTCTCACAGCTGAAGGCCCCAAAGGTGGATTTGTTCAGCCGGTGCTGCAACACCTCATGGGTGACACCATGCTGGATAAACTAGAATGTTCATTCATTGCATATTCTTGTTGAGAGCTGTCAAACACCTTCAATTTTAACATCTAATTGACATCTAATATTCATTGCCGGATACTGCCCCTTCTCTGAGACAAATTCTCATAACAACCATGACGTGCTGAACACAGACATGCCACCTTGGTTTTACTTGATCTCATCACCCTTGCATCTAAAGCCAAGATTTGCAGCTGGGCCGAAATACTTACCGCACATGAGATTGGTGGCCAGTCGAAAACTTACTTCAGAGATTGGTCCAAGAAACTGCTAGACCCATCTCCTCTACGTATCCAGTCAAGTTGACGATGATGACAGGTGATTTGCCAAAGCCTGCACCTGGAATGGACAAAATGAAGCGAATGAGTGCCATGTAGCGCTCGGAGCCTTTCTGCGCATGAATTGCCTCCGGGCTGGGTCGTTGACGTTCTGCAGTCCTCAGGTCCTCATGGGCCTCAAGAGATTCTGGCAAGACAAGGTCTTTGCTCAGCGGGATGAAGATCTTTTGCTCTGTAAGTGGCCGTCCGGCCAGAACTAGCTCGGCCGAAGTGGTGAAAATGTTGGTCTCTTCAGCATCCTTGTTCACCACCACTCGCCCGGAACTCCATCGCCTGTCATTGCCGCATAACAACAAATGTCAAGAGCAGTTATCAACAAATGCA